TGCCTGTTCTGCTCCCTACTCTGTCAATTCTTTCACCACCTCTGCACCTCTGACCTGTACCCCAGTCCTTTATGCATAAGTAAATCTTAAAAAAAAAATACAAATTACAAAAATGTAATTCAATAAAGGCAAATTCTCTCAGACAAATAATTTGCCGTTTTCAAATTCTAACCCTAACCTTTAACTCCAACAAATGTCTTATCCACTTACATGGTTCAAAATTTACTATTGTCTTTCTGCATCGTTTTATTACACATAGCATATTACAAACTTTGCACTATCGCTTTGTCCTCAAACTCTAGAGTGTAGTAGTTTCTCTAGTATATGAAAGACTTTTATTAAGATAATTTTTAAATGTCAAAAGTGAATGATCTAAATATTAAAGATTTATTTTCTTCCTTCCTCTTCTAATCCAAGTTAGGGTAGCTATAATTGTAACAGGGTGGTCCCCAGGAAAAGGGGAGGTTCCAGATTCCCAGTCCTACTCAGGGGAGGATGGAGCTGAGCAGGGAGGAGAGAGAAGAATCTGGAGAGGAGTCTGAGGTGGATGAAAGTAGGATGGAAAGCCAAGAGGAGGCCTGAGGAAGTCTCATGGAGTGGAGAAAAGTGAAGAAGTGGCTCTTGTTTCTAAGCCCTAAACTGGGTGAAACAGATGAGGGTGAGAGACCCGTGGGGAGGTTCACTATGGCAGCGTTTACTTTTATTTTGATTTTGTTCTTTTCCTCCCAGGCTTGTGTGGCCATTTCTGACCCTTTTCTATGGGTGCCCACCGGAAGGTGCTTTAGACTTGTGGCAGGTTTTCGGCCCTTGCTTTGGGCCAGTCTCTTTTGGGTGAACTTCTACTGACAAGGGGATGGGTAACTTTGGGTGTTTGATTTAGACACTACATTCTTTGTCTATTCGGTATTGCACACTAATTGTATTCAAGTTCCTTTCCATTAAAGCTCTTATATGTTTTGTCTTGATGCAGCAGATGGTAGAACCTATTTAGATCAGGCAAGTTTGGGGATTCAGGGGTACCTTTTCCCCTACCCTTTAACATAATGACATCCACAATATTTTTCCTGTTAGTCATTTAACAGAAATTCCTTTTTAAAAAGTTTTAATTGAAATATAGTTGGCATATAGTGCTATAAGTTTAAGGTACAACATGTTCATTTGATCCATTTATATATTATAATATGATTATTACTGTAGTGGTAATTAGCACCTCTACCATGTCACATAATTATCATTTCTTTCTAGTGGCTGGAATAACTAGATTTAGTTTCTTAGCAAGCTTGATGTTCATAATATAATATTGTTGCTGCTATTTGCCATACATACTTTGCATTGGGTTTGTGGGAATTATTTCTATTACTTGTTGCAGGTATGTACCCTTAAGGAATAGTTCTCCTATACCCCTACCCAGAAGTGCCACTTTTAATAGAATAATAGTAAATTAAAGTTCAAATATTTAATCTTTTTCCAGTTTCACTTTTTCCTCTTACATTTCAAATATAGGTTAGCCTACTGAAAATTATGTTGTTTTGTTGCTTTTCTATGTGGGTTTTATGTTTTAAAAATCTGACTAGACGTCTCAGTATTGAAGTTCTAATCCAAATCTCCATATTGCAATCAACCTGAAATACTTTGTTAGTAGCTCCAATAAATGGCATCTTGGAAGCAATAGCTCTCATCTTACACAAATTTCTGAGAGTTTGATGAAAGGAACCAAACATTTACCGCCCAGACCATTTTTAATTGTTGATCACCAGCCAGGCTCTGGAGGGGAAAGCCCAGGGACTTAAGCCAAGCCTGCAGACTGGGTATTGTGCACCCACCCCCCAGTCCCTCATTCTGGAGTGTAGTCCAAGGTCTTCTCCTAGTATGGGGTGGAGGGAGCAGGCGAGATGAGGGAGAGTGGAGTTGGGGTGGGGGAGGGTTCTATCAAGCCCAGGAATATGTGATGTTAAGCAGAGTGATGTGTTCATGAGACCAAAATAAAATCAACCTAGAGCAATGCCAAATTCTTTTTCTGTCACTCATTCTCATACAAAGGTCATCTGTCTCCCTTGGTGGGGAATTACAGAAATCTAAAACTGACTCTTATCAGTACTTAGTGGAATCCAAGCACAGAAGAAATTGTTAACAAGGACAATTTGCTCTTTACTAACCCAGGAGCTAGCAATTATCAATCAGGGTGGTAGGGCTCCATTCATTACCCAGTGTTTTGTGTGGAAATTAGGTCTAGAAAAGTCTCAGAGCTTCCCTTACGACCAGAGAAATCAGAGGTTTTCATGTATCACCTCTCTCCCCACCTTCGTCTTCACCCCCTTCCCTTCCTGAACCTCCCCGTCTCCACTGTTGTGGAGAGCCTGGCAAAAGTGCTCTGGCTTGAGATGCTTTGGCCCAGGAAAGATGGAAGAAGCTGGATGTGGGCAAGGACAGAGGAATAGTGCTTGTCTGGGTGCAGATCTGGTGGCTTTGTTAGCCTCCAGGCTGAGAAATGCTCAGTCAGCAGAGAAAGGGGAAGAGAGATTGGCGGCAATTTTCTTAAAAACAACATAGCTTAAGTCTCCGGCGTGTGCCCCCTCGCTCACCCCGCCGAGGCAGTCAGGTCAAAACCGACGCCCCGCAGCGAGCGCCGCAGCCAGTTCCCGCTAGGAAGAAGGCGGGCATCCGTCGCAGCCAAACGCCTGGCTGCTGCACTTCTTGGTCAACGTGCCGGGTTCAACCAGGCGCCTTTCCCACCGAGGCACGTACAGAGTTCGCACGCGGTCACCCCAGATTTGATGATGTCGCTCGCCGGGCACAGCTGGTAAATATGACTGGTCAAGGGTTCGCCGAGGGCAGAGGGGGAGGCGGCTACAAGTGCACTTCGTAGCCAAACGTCAGAGCTTTACTCCTCAGCGCTAGTTCTCCCAGCCCGTGAAGGAACCCAGGACGCCCCAGGCTCACCTCTCCCCAGTCAAACCAACCGCCCACCCGCTGCCTGGCCCCTGTGCAAAGTCTCTGAACTGCCCATCCCTAGCCACTGCCCTTTCCGGTCGACCCAGACTTTTGACTCAGTTCTCACAAAGCCACCTAGCCACCCGCGCCTCCCAGGAGTCCGAAAATCCTTAAGGAAAGTGCTCGGGAGCAGGACGGGCTCGTGGTGAATCCACCCCAGAGGTGGGGAATCCCCGGGAACCAGAGAGCGAGAAGGCAGGCTTGACCCCAAGGAAGAACGGCTGGCGGCGGCGGGCGCCTCGCTTGCACCTCCGCGTGGTGCAGGGGCCGTGAGCCCCTCAAGGGGCGCCACCGCGCGGACATGGACCGCGAGGGAGGACTAGCTTGTGCCTGAGCGCCCGGGGATGCTTGTCTCCTGTCCCGACCCTAATTCTTACGCCAAAACCTTTGACCCCCTGATTCCTAAAGTTCCTTTGCCAGGCCTTTGTGTCAGGTAGCAATAAGATTATGTTTTCGGAATGACTACATAAACGCCAATGCCCAGGGGATGTAGTGACCTTTTCACCTTCCCAGTGAACTCCTGAGCGCGTCGGTGGGCTTTTACCACCAAGGGCCTGAGCGGTGACCGAAACTGTTTGTTCCCTGAAATGTCCTTGCGATTCTTATCCGCGGAGGCTTTAAGTAGCAGTTATCGGAAAGCCCTTGGGGATGGACCTGGGGGGCGTCCAACCTCCTGCGAGGACGTGATGCTTTGGGAAATGGAGGAGAGCAGGAACTAGAGTGTTGGCGTGACAATTGCCATGGCCAGGAGCGGGCTCAGTGAAGACCCTGCCAAAAGCACCCCTCCCCCTGCTCTTATTGTTCCTTCTCCCCTGGGATGTGAAGAACCTGGGCCGCTGGACCTCAAAATCCCAACCCCCCTAACCTGAGCTCTGAAACATGCAGCTGGGCGGGGTCGGGCAACGATTACCCCCTAGCTGGAAGTCGCTTCACCTCCCAACCTCTGGCGTTTCCTTCGCCCCAGAGGAGAGGGCAACAATGGAGACTACAGCGCGTGGCTGGCACACGGACGCGGCTGGCACCCAGCAGCGCGTCCAGCTACAGGGCTGGAGGCGCTGGGAAACTGCAGCCCAGCCGTGGCCACTCAAGTGGCAAGTAGTCTGACTCGGTTTGCGCGCAGCTGTTACAGAGTCGACCTTCAACCGGTCCTGTGCTGCGTCTCCCTCTCCAGTTCACCCACCCACGCGTGCACACACACACACACACACACACACACACACACACACACACACTTTCCCTCCAGTCCTGGCCTGGAGTTAACAGGAGGACCTCCCTGCAGCTCCCAGCCGCGGGTCTCCCGCCGGCACTATTGGGGAGTTGGCAGGGGGGTGGCCCCCGGCTCCTACATTCGGCGGGCGCCAGCTGGGGATTTGGAGTTGCGTGGAGCAGCGCCCACCTCCCCGGCGCTCCCCACTCCTGGGCGACTGGAACCTGGAGATCCGCTGGCAGTTGCCCGGCTCTCCCCTGGGTGCTGAGCGAGCAAGCCGAGGTAGGCTAGTGCGTCTCAGTCGCTGGCGTCGACCTTGGTGCCCCCTTACAAACAACACACCCACACGCCCTGGTTGCAAAAACCCAGCGCCTTCCTTCCCCAGGGCCTCCGCGAGAGAAGGGCAGACGGACGGGGAAAGCACGCCGAGAGAAACTTGTTCCTCCCAGTCTCCTGTCAGGCAATTACTGGAGAGCCAGTGGGGGGAGAGGGGAGGGAGGAAGCAAGGGAAGGGCTGCAGAAGGGGAGGAGGAGGACTCGGACGAAGAGGTGGGGGAGGCGAGGAGGGGTGCAGTTGGTGAAACTCCTCTGTCTCCCGCTCATCTTTTCATTGCTTGCTCCTCTCCTTCGAGCAGACACCCCGGATCTCCCCTGGGCGCCCAGCTCCTCGGCTCCAACGGGTCCAGAAAGAAGCCGGATTTTTTTTCTCTCTCTGGAAATTGGCTTTGGTGTGTGTTTCCTTATCTCCCTTCTCCCCCGCCCAGCTCCCCCCACCCCATCCGCCACACTCCTCCGCCCCCCTCCACCCCCCTCTCCCCCAGCTCCTTTTTGAGACATGGCCCGGGCAGTGGCTCCTGGAAGAGGAACAAGTGTGGGAAAAGAGAGAGGAAACCGGAGCTAAATGACAGGATGCAGGCGGCTTGAGACACAAAAAGAGAAGCGTTCCTCTCGAATCAAGGCATTGCCTCTCGGCTTTCCTTTCCCGGAGACCGCCTGAGGATTTTACACGCTCTGCGCTGAGTTGAAGCTCCTCGGATTGTTTAGATTCCGCACCCCAACCCCCTTGCTCTGTTTCCCCCCTTGCGTTCTCGTTCTCCCGCGTCTGCCTGGGGAACCCGCGAAAGGAGAATGGAGAGGGGGCTGCGGCTCCTCTGCGCCGCTCTCGCCCTCGCCCTCGCCCTCGCCCTGGCCGGCGCTTCTCGCAACGGTAAGTGACAGGCGGAGGCGCGTGTGACACCTCGGCTGCTACGCGCGTCCGACCGGGGTTTTGCTTCCCGCTCAGCTGAACTGCCGGGATGAACCGGGAATAGTCACCTCCCGTCAGAAAGAAACTTTTAGCCGAGCGTAGAAATCAGAAATAAGACCAGAAGGTTTAGGCAGGAAGATTTCAAATCTTCAGGCTCCCTCCTGGAGTTGGTGGTTTGACTGGGTTTTTCCTGCCGCTGTAGGAGCTGCCTACCTTCCCAGATCAGCACGCCAATTATCTTAATAATGTTTCCTCCCAAAGGCAATTAGATGAGACTCCCTTTCAAAAATCTGATGGCTGTTGAAAGTTAATGAACTCTTTACCAGGAGAACTTCCTGGTTTCCTTGCAGCTCCCCTAAACTGTTTCCTCTGGTGGGTGCTTGCAAGAGATAGTAGTTTGTGGGTTGATGCAACTCCCTCCTCCGCCTTTGTAAATCATCCCTAATCCGGTCTGGAGTATGAATGAAAGTTGCATAGTGTCAATAAAGGAATCTGATATATACAGAGTAAATCACCAGGATATCTGAAAATCCCTAACCTAGTTGCAGCTTTCACGTAGCTTTTAAAATCATTCACAGTTAAGTAAACGAAGGACTGCTGGGTTATAAACAGTATCCTGTAACTTCAATAGTCTGTTTTAAAATGTGATTTGTTTGTAGGCATGTTTGACTTATACTGTAAAGCAGGTGAAGGCAAGGGCATGAAATTATCTTTACAGTAAGTCTTGAGCAATTATTAACTAATTATCAAATATTTACTTTCGTCTGGCGTAGATTTCAATCAAAGTAATTAGAAGAAAAGAGCATCCACTACTTACTGTGGTATATTGTTTTAATAAGAGACCACAAGTGGAGAGGTTCATACCAAGAAGAATTTAAATCATGTCTTTATGATGAAAGTTAATCTCTCTAATTTGCTTTTTGGAGGTTTTGTGATTGAAGCAATAGATTTCCTCCAGCAGCGACCAAGCAGTGTTCTAAAAGATATGCTTGGAAGCAAAACACACATGCTCACAATTGTGAATGTGGGGTTCAGTTTATTAATGAACCTGAGTTGGTAGCATCTCTCTAACATATGGCAGGTAATGAACTAACATTCTCTTCCCACTGAAAGAGCTCAAGTGGTGAGACTTAAGAAATACACTAATCTACCTCCTAGCCTCACAAACTCCTGAGATTAAATCTACAGTGGAGGTGTTTGCAGGATAGATATGAAGCCTAAAGCAAAGAGCTTTCAGACTTTAGACTGTGAACTCTGTGTTTGTATGTGTGTCTTTAACTTTTCTTGACAGAAATCTGAGGAATGCTTAGAACTGTAGCTTCAGCCTTGGGATTTGGCTGGTTAAAGCCATGTTGCAATGTTTTAAGTAACCAAAGCCAGTGCATGCCCCTGTAACTCAGCAGACCTTTTAAAGCCATGTCCACCTCCTCTGAGTACCAATGTCTGCTAAATTAATTCATTAACCTTATTTAGGGCTAATGGTCCAGAGTCATTAGAAATTGCTCTTTCTTAATCAACTGTTAGAGAGATTTAACAGAGCCAGGGAGACCAGCAGTCCACATTATCTTATTACACTGTCACTTTCTCAGAAGTCACAGATTAAAGAGCTCTGGTGTGGTACCAAGTCCACCTAAATGTCTTCTAAAGCGACTCTGTCGAGTGACTAGAAACAGTGCTGTTTTATTTCACTCCTCTAACAGATGCCAGACACTGCCATGCTGTTTGTACAGAGCTAGAGGAGACTTAATGAGATGGGGTCACTTTGCAAGTTTTCTGCATGTTTAAAATAATGGAAGCTCCTCAGTAGAATCACATAACTGAGTCCACTATGATCAGTTGAGATTCTGAACTCCAGTTGCAACATTTCTTCTTGGCAAACCTTAAGCTTTTAAAAGCCAAGGCAAAGGAAACCAGTACAAGACTATCCCCAAGTCTTCAAAAACAATCTGAAACCTCTAGCAATTGAGAAAAACAATGTAATATATATTGTCTTCTTTTAATTTATGGGAAATGATTTCTGTAATGCATGTAGCTTTATGCATTTTTGATGTGCACTTCATCTTTCATTTCCATTTGACCTGGTTTTCCTGTAATAAAATTCTGTAGATTTATAAATTCATGCTGAGAGCAAAGAATGCCATTCTCCTTCCACGGGGAACCTATTAGATGCAATATTAAAATCTATATATACCGTTACTGAAATTTTGTGATTGATAGGCTTATATATTTCACTCTTTCATACATGTCCCCCTTACATAGTTTATGTACCAAATTTTTATTGCTTAAAATTAAGCATCAATAAATGTGGCAGCATTTCAGGCTGAGGTTCTCCAGTATGACATTCATCATAAAAAGTGACAATGAAAATCTACACTGAACAATAAAGCAGCCCAGAGAGTGGTTTATTTGGCTCTCAATAAATCACTTCAGCATTTTGGATTTTTTGAAATGAGGGTTCAAAACTAGTTAGCTCACCTTTCCCAGAGGGTGAGAATATGACTTACCACATGTGATGCCCAGACCTCAGTGTGGTAGGGTTTTTTTTTTTTTTCAACATGTAGGTAATTAGAATTAATGTTGTGTGGCTGTTTATTTTTCTTTCTGCCCCATTGCTTTGATCTGGTCTCCAAGCCTGAATAACTTGACTTAGAGCAGTAGAGCAGAATATTTTCTGCTTCACCAAATATGTTTTGTTCTCTTCTTGGTCTGGATCTCAAGAGCAGAGATAACTCAACATCACTTAGATTTATGGGCTGATAAAACAACAACAAAAAAGGATTGGCTTTAAGCCAGTGGAAGTCTTGGAAGACGCCCCCCACTGATCAATGACATAGACCAGGCTTATCATCAAAAAGTGACACATGGGATCTAAACGCATCTTTTAGTCACCTTCCACTTAGAACTTGCTTCTTAATGTGATTACACTTCTTGGGGGATAATTAAGTCTAGCAGAAACTCCCTGGGGATCATGTTAACAGCAATAGAGGGGATTTAATGTTTTTAATGCTAGAAGACCTTTTTCTTGGGATGGAAGTTTGTGGGGGGGGGGGTATGGATGGAATCCTGACAGATCTTAGTCTACTTTCCTTCTGAGCCAAAGTTTCTGACATCTAAAATTGTTCCTAGGGGATTTTTTTTGCTATCAGCACCACCTGAAAGACCTGTGGACACATGCTTGGAGTTCCCCCTTTAAAAAGCTATAGAATGTTTAATAACCAGTAATTTATAAATAACATGACAATCTAGGAAAGATTTAAAATGGTGTGTTTTTTTTTTTTTCTTCAGATAAATGTGGCGATACCATAAAAATTGAAAACCCGGGGTACCTAACATCCCCTGGTTATCCTAACTCTTATCACCCAAGTGAAAAATGTGAATGGCTGATTCAGGCTCCTGAACCATACCAGAGAATTATGATCAACTTCAACCCTCACTTTGATTTGGAGGACAGAGACTGCAAGTAAGTGAGACTGTGTTTGAACAGGGCACCACAGCACCATCTAGTGGTCATGGATGTCTAAGAGGGAAAAACCTGTGTGTAAAATGTAGGCTATAAATGGTTCCAGGAGGGATTCTAATCTAGGCCAGATCATATGTCAGTGGTATGGAAATTAAATTATGTTAAGTGATTTCTGAGTTCCCCATACTAGGAATTTCAATATGTAATCTTTTCCCTGTTAACACTTGATTTGAGAACTCTTCTTGAGAGAGAGAGAGAGAAGGGAATGTGTATGTGTGTGTGTATGTGTGTGTTCTGGAAGGGGAAGAAATAAAAAAAAAAACTTGCTATTTTATTAAATATGCTGGGTTATTCACATATAATATGAACAGGTGAAGTTGGACATTTTTTAAAAATATCTGAGGCATTTTTTTGTGTCTTAAAATTGTGTGTTACTGAGTTTGACATGAGAAGAGCAAGTTGTTGAATAAAAATAAGGTATAGAGGCTAAGCTAGATGATGGGATTTTATACTAGATTGATTATTTCAAGTCTCATAAAAAATACTTATTTTTTATAAGTATTTATTTATTAATGCACAATGAATACAGTGGGCCTCAAATATATACCTGTGTTTCATCTGCTTTAGTCTTTCATCTCCTTCTATTGTTAAGTTTCTAAGCACCAATTTATGCCAGAGTTCGTTTTAGGAAATTATTCTCATTGTAGAGATACTCTAAATTATATCTCCTCACATAATATGAAAGAAACTGGCATGTAAATTTTGCCTTCCACAGTCTGGAGAGTGTATTTTAACATTGTAGATAGCAATCCACTCAGACCCAGGTGTTTCTTCTCTCTGGACATCCAGTCTCTGTGTTGTCCACACCAGGCCATTTGGTAGCAGTGAGCATGGTGTATTCTCCAAACACTTAAGCCTGAAGATCGATCCTTAATGAAGTTTAGATATAAATAGTTTTAGCAAAGGAAAATAATCTATTTAAATCTCAATTCTAAAGTGCTTTTCACTTTAGACTGATTTCTTTTCTCAGCTTTAAAATAGGTCAATTTGATATAACATATACACTACTTTCACTGGATATAAACATTATGCTGGCACATTCATTATTTAAAAGATGCTATTTGCAGATACATAATCCTTTTAGGGAAGAGTAACATGAAAGTGTACCCATTTATAGGAAGTTTTTAACAACCTGTTGATTTTGTGGGATAAAATGGTTTTTCATGGTCAAAGAAGTGAGGTTAATTCAACATTCTGGTGACTAAAGAACTGAGAGAAATTCAAGTACTGTTAACCGATTTCCAAATGATCATCTTATGTTACAGCACAATGAAGTTATACCGATTCCAATTTAATCTTCGCACTCTCACTTTGAAGTGCTACATGGCATTACATTGACATTTTAATCTTGTGTGAAAGTTGCCATTGAGTGTAGCAGTAACTGCTAGGGAACAGGAGTTCATTGTCTTTCTCCATGGATTTTTTTTTTTTTAAACTATGACAATCACATAGGTAACCTGGGGATTTGTTCAGTTTTTTACATTGTTTTCATTTTTATTTTTGACAATATTTAAACTAGAAAGGCATTTTTAAGAAACTCTAGTAATACATACTCATGTAATAACATTACTTGGAAAATAAGGTGCTATTAGATTTTAATAATCTCACGTTTATAATTCTTGATCTGAAAATCATGACTATGTATGTGTGCAAATAATGGCTAAATCATGCAGTATAGACAGTACTTATTGACAGCAGCTATGTTGATGACTATTTCTCAGCAGGATCATGGGTGAGACTGGGTCAAGCCTTCATTTGTGATATTCACCACTTTCTATAGTGCAAAGATTTCCACCATAGCCAATTTCAGAGTCCCTCGCTGATGTTATTGCACAGACCTGTAAATATGCACAACTGGTCTTATGAACTGGTACAAGCTGCTACGTCACACAGCTGGAAAAGAGGTGTAAGGAGGGGAAAACCAGTTGCAGGAGTTATTGTATGTCAAGTGCCTACAAGAGCGTCTGACACACAGTAAACCTTAAATAATTATTTGTTATATCATAAAGTGAGGTGGCATATGGTAGGATTGAAGAAAACCTTTTTGGTTTGTTTTCATTTTTAAAGGTGACTTTTTAAAAAGAATAATTATAATTTATAGAAAAGGTAATTTTAGTGATACCAACAATATATTCAAGAAATGGAGATGGTCAAAAGGATTATTTCTGTAATTACAAGATGACTTTTTTTTTTTAAAGATTTATTTATTTATGCATACAGAACTGGGGTACAGGCCAGAGGCTCAGGGGTGGTGAGAGGCTTCACCAGAGACAGAGTGGGGAACAGAACAGGTAGATCAACAAAGTACACTGCTGAGGGGAGCAGCGGGCGGGTCAGGAGAGGTCTGCCACACCTTGTGGTCACCTCCGGTGCAGGCGGGAATTGAACTCATGCAGAAGTGGCTTTAGATTCTTAGTGCTGTGCTTTAACCCGTTGCGCCACCAGGGAGGGCCTACAAGGTGACTTTAAAAAAGAAAAAAAAAATCTATGAAGTAAGGTGGTTCCTTAATTTTAGCAACCCAGGGCTTGTTCTTGGTGAAGGTGTCATCTTCTGGCCAGTCTTGAAGGGTGGCTATATTTAGCCTGATGAGGTCAATGAAGATTATGACTCTAGAAACATATCTTTGTACTGTGTTTTGAAGTGTTACTACCTGATTGTTTTATAAATTAAAAAAAGAAATTTTGGAAAGGAAAAGGAAAATTTCAAACAGGTATAGGAAGAACAACTTAAGACATTGTAGTCGGCCTCTTTCGCATTGATCCACATTGATGTCTGCTGATTGTTGAAGGTTGTACTTGGGAGTCTAGAAATGTGGCACAATTTTTACCTTCTTTTGTAAAGGCTGTGAGGAGAATCCATAGTTTTAACAGTATAGATGGTTAGAATTTCCCAGAAAAATGGGAAACACCAAAAACTCTTCAAAGGAAGAACAAACTCATAGACTTCAGAAGTGTACATTGGATGTGATGTGAAAAAGGTTTTTACAGTTTGGGTTGTTTCATTGTTATTAGCAATTTATGTTAGGTAACTCCCCAAATCGGGAACATGATACAAAGCTAGGTAGGGTAAACCATACTCAGGGAGATTTTAAAAGCTGATAAGCTTTTAGATACCATCCTGTTCAACACAAGCTCTTTGTCTTATTTGAGATATATAATATCTTCATCTTGCCGCTATTTTATGTCTAATAGCAGTACAAAATGTCTTTGGTTACTGGTAAGATAAAATGAGGTCGTGATTATGAAAGCCTTTTGAAAGGTTAAAAGCTCCCCTCAAAATATGTTATCAACATTATGATGATATTTTTAACAACTTTGAGATTTTTGGAACATTTGGAAATAAGAAGCTAAGCATAGGTCAAAGTAGGTATTTTGATGCAGCAATGGGATGCACTCTGCATTTTTTTTTTGAAAATGTCAGTATTTATACAGCAAATGTTCACTTAACACTGTCAGTTGGTTGTTAAAAACTGGAACTTTCAGTAAAACTATATATAACATAAACAGGTGCTTCAGTAAAATTGTTGCAGCCGTTGTCTGTGGGGATTATTTTTATTGTCATCAATATTACAATGACTCCAAGTTGAACAAAATCATATTATTTGAGGACCTGTTGCATAGTCAGCTTAGACTATGTGAAAACTCAAGAAGTCAATTCATTAGTATATTTGCTTTTTGAGAAACATGCTTGAGATCCAAGTAAACAATTACTTTGCAGAGTGTAGGCAGGAGTAAGTAGTTAAATAGTCCAATTGTAATGTGAAAAATATTTTTATTTAAATGTTATTGTCTTACTGAAAATTAAATATAAAACACTAATTTTATAGTTTTAACCATAGTATTATATAAATCAACAATGCTCATATAAATGGGACCAAGAGAGAACTTCGGAGCTATTAACTATGAAATCTAGCCTTACAAAATGTTTTTACCATAAGTATCATGGGGAGGGGAAAGAGATATTTCCTTAGAGAAAATAAGTGTACAAGTTGTGCTTGATAGTTTTAAGATGAAATCATCTATGTTTATGCCAACACTGAATCAGGTTTGATTCTCTATCAGCATCAAAACCGCAATATTACAACCCCTCAGTTCTTTTATTGAACAGGGTGTTGTGTGGATCAGTCATTGAAGTAGAGAACATTTGTCTGCAGAGCTAATGTTGTATTAGAACTTCCAGTTAGATAACTGTCTGGATTTATTGTTATGTTGATATGAGAAGCAACTAAAGGATGTTCTGAGAGGAGGAAGTGTTGAGGGAATGGAAAGAATGTGATTTTTCTTTAACTCCTCCATCCTTGTAACATGTCAAAGCACAGTCAAAAGTAGAAAAGAAAGAAAAAAGCAACCTGCTGAGTGTTTCTCAGAAAGTAGTGTTCCTTCTGCCTCATAAATGGCTTTCAGTATTTACAGTGAGCTGGTTAGATCTTAACTCTACTGTAGGTTTCTCCGGTGGTAAGGCAGACATCTTGAATCTCGTAAAACTTTATATCTGCATAATAAACAAGAATGTCATTGATACAGTAGTTAGAATTTATGGAACTTTTCCAGTTTCCCAGCAATGCAGACTATCAGCTTGATAATTTATAATGGCTTGTGACAAATACTGCTGAGCCAAGAGGTGTGTGGTTACATTCAGATCAGATGTCATCATCTGGGGAGCAATAAAAATTTCACAGACATTGGGGTAAAAACATTAAGAAAATGAATGTGAAGCTCCAGAAAAAGAGTCTAAAAAGATGGTAGCATTGGGGACAAAAGCTCTTACTGACAGGTTCCTGACCAGGGCCTCATTTGTCAGTGCTGTCTCATAATTTTACCAAGATACAAGGTTAACAGCTTAGATGTTTTTCTGTCTATAACTTAGATCTGTTAAAAAAAATTGCATCTGTTATATTTGTGTAACCGATAAGGGTTGTCTTTTTCTAATTTTGTGCAAA